ATATTTATATATATACATAATAAAGTTTGCAATAATAATAACTAAACTAAAATAATAATAATAATAATAATAGAAAATAAAACACACAAACACATATATTTATATATATAATAAAGTTTGAAATAATAAAAACTAAACTAAAATAATAATAATAAGAAAAGAAAAAATAAAACAAACACACACACACACATATAATAAAGTTTGAAATAATAATCATAAATACTAAACTATAATAATAATAATAATAATAAAAAATAAAACATACACACATATATTTATATATATACATAATAAAGTTTGCAATAATAATAACTAAACTAAAATAATAATAATAATAAAAGAAAATAAAACACACACACACATATTTATATATATATAATAAAGTTTGAAATAATAATAAAAACTAAACTAAAATAATAATAATAAGAAAAGAAAAGAAAAAATAAAACAAACACACACACATATATATAATAAAGTTTGAAATAATAATAAAAACTAAACTATAATAATAATAATAATAATAAATAAAAAGAAAAAACCTGTTTCCAACACCTTCCTGCAATATTATCAATATTTAACCAAACTTACCACCCGAAATACCAATTTTTTTAAAAAAATTAAAGCTGACAATAGAGATATATACAAAGAGATTGAAAGAAGATCTTAAAGCCAACCTTAAAAACTGTGGCATAGATACCGAGAACTGGGAAGCCCTGGCCCTTGAGTGCTTTAACTGGAGGTCAGCTGTGACCAGCAGTGCTGGAGAATTCGAAGATGCACGAATAGAGGGTGAAAGGGAGAAATGTGTAAAAAGGAAGGAGGTGCATCAAGCCAAGCCTGACCAGGACCTGGAAACCAATGTCCTCACTATGAAAGAACATGTGGGTCAAGAATAGGATTCCACAGTCACCTACAGACCCACAACCAAGACGCTACACTTGGAAGGCCGTCATATTCAGACAACGAGGGATTGCCAAAGGAAATATGGAATAATCATTAGCTGTCATTACAAAAGAGATGGGAGTATTTTAGACTCTTTAGCTGTTTTCCTGTTGTTTCTGATGGTTATATTATTATTATTATTATATAATATATTATTATAGTATATTATTATATTATATAATAATATATTATTATATTTTATTTTATTATATAATAATATATTATTATAGTATATTATTATATTATATAATAATATATTATATTTTTATTATTATATTATATAATAATATATTATATTATTATATTATTATTATTATTATTATTATTATTATTATTATTATTATTATTATTATTATATGGCACTAAAAGGACAATTTTGCGTCGCTGTTGCCTCTTTGTGGGTTCGAATCTCATCGGAAAGGCTCTCCCAACTTCTGGAAAGTTGTAGGAAACTTTATGACATTTGAGGCAGAATTGCAGCCTTCTCCCAACAAAACCAGACGGCGGAAAGAAAGAGCGTCGGGATGTAATTTAGGTGAAGAGGGCAGCGGCATCCTCCTCGAGAAAGGGCCCCGTTGTGCTAAACATCCCTTTCTCAACCTATCATTACTCCACCCGCTCGGGGTTTGGGACTCGGCCCTGTTTACTTACATCATTTTGGGAAAAGTAGAATGGCCCCGTTTTGAAACCCCAACATCGGGCCTGGGCCAGCTTTCTAACTTGGGGGCCACAGGGTAGCACTCCCTGCGAAGAGGAATGGCTGCCCAGTAGTGGAAGGAAGGAAGGAAGGGAAGGAGGAAGGAAAGGGAGAAGGAAGGAAGGAGAAAGGGAAGGATGGAA